CCAGAGTTTAAACATTAAAAGTACGACCCAAGAGCTCATACTTCTCAAAACTATGCTGTGCTGCCTTGTTTATGTCTTGCTTTGATGAAGAAAGAACCAGATGCCAAATTTAAGAGGGATGTGACCCACTCTTCTTAAAATCCTTGTGTTCTTAAAAATGATTCCTTTGTAATATTTGTTTTAAATGCTTCTGACTGATTTTACAAAAGGGTTGAATATGTTGAAAACATCATTTTAAAATGCTAATGGTTGTTTTAACACATTTTATTGAATGCTTGTCAGTGATTGTAAATGACACAATTTTATAGAGGGATGTAAGTATATTTAACCTTTGCACATAAATCTAGTTTGAAAAATGTTTGACTAAATAAGTACATATGTATCTAGATCTTTAAAAACTTTTATGAAACCTAGGATACAAGTACTGAAATTAGGTTTCCTGAGCAGTACTAAAAAATTATATGGCCAAAGATTATTTACAAAGAGGGAAGAAGCTACAAAATGAGAATGATAGGACTGCTGAATAGGATGGCCATTTGAGCTGCCTTAAAATAGGATTTGCATGAGCATGATGCTCTCTTTTCCCTATTTTAGTCCCTTACACTTGCTCTTTATCATATTCTGATATTCTGGCACACAATACAATTAGAAACCACTCCTCCTCAAATCTGCAGTAAAATGTGTAATACCTTCTGTATGGCTACTAGCTTAATCAAATATAATCCACATAGCTAATCAAATACTGTTTAAAATTTACATTAGGAAACTTATTAAAAACAACAAAAGACTACCTCTATTCCAAATTTGATTCAATTTAAATGACTTTCTCAGTAGCTAACCTAAATGCAGGTAATGCTGTGGTTCTACCTGACTGACCCAGACCTCCCAAAACAAGATCTCGTAAGTGCAGCACAGGGATTAGTAGGTACCCTTCCTCAGTTGAGTGATACCAGGTTCCTCTTACTTTCTTCATTAAGAAAGGTCCCACCATCCATGAGCCCACATACAATCACCCTCCCAGAACCCTCTCCTGACATCCCCTACCCACAATCCCCCACATTAAAACTGTTCACTAGTTGTGCTGTTGTGGCTTTTTCACTGGAGACCATAAGTTTGAGTTGCATTATTCAATGTGAGGGTCACAATGAGAGAACGTGGATCTTTCTTATTCTTGTGAACTGTGATCTTTCCTTTCAAGGCCTCACCTATAAAAGAACAGTAAAAAAAATGTGTTTAAGAACTGAAGGCAGGCAGTCTAGCAGAGAATATACACCTAGCACTTCTCTTTTACTGTCATGAGATGTTGAATTTTTTTTTCGTGGTAGAAACATACACACCCAAACACTCTTCCATCAACACAGCAATTTCCACATTTACAACTCAATGACATTGACTGCATTTTTCATGTTGTGCCACCATTATCGCTATCCTCATCCAAAGCATTCCACCACCATTGACAAAAATGCAATGCTTCTCAAACATAAACTCCCCCTTTCCCCAACCCTCCCAACCCCAGTAACCATTATAAATCTTTGGTTTCTATGTATTTGCTTATTTCATATAACTGAAATCATATATATTTTATTTACTTCAGCATAATGTTCTTCCATGTTGTGGCATGCACCAGAACTTCCTGTTTACAACTGCGTAAGTTTCCACTGTATGTATATACCATATTTTGTCTATCCATTCATCTGCTGATAGACATTTCAGTTGTTTCTACTTTCTGGCTATTTTGAAAAGTGTTACAATGAACACCTGTGTAAAGTGTACAGATTTCTGTTTGCATTTCTACCTTCACTTCCTCTGGGTGCATACCTAGGATTGGTTGCTGGGTCATATGAGAGTTCTACATTCGACTCTTAGAGGAACCTCTAAACTATTTTCCACAGTGGCTGCACCATTTTACATTCCCACCAGCAATGGATGAGGGTTCCAGTTTCTCTAAACCC